CCTCGGGCCCCAGTCACGAGCCCTGAAGCGCTCCCTCCGTCCCCCGATCCCTGCCCCTGCACAAGAGGGACCAGATCCTGGGGGGCTGTTCGGTACTGGGCACTTCCAGGCGGTGGCAGCCGGCTGTGGGTAGGAACCTACCCAGCGCCCAGACCTGGGGACAAGCACTCATTAAAGGCCGCCCAGGAGAGTCGAAGGTCAGACCGAGGGCCATGGTGAACCCCCGAGAGACAGCACTCACGCCCTCCGGGCATGGCAGGTGGCCGCCAACAGGCTCAGCCGACTTCCAGAGAAGCAGGAGGGATGTCAGGGCTCGAGTCAGCCCACCGCCTGGCCTCGCCCCCGGGAGACTCCCAAGGGCGGCCCCAAATTTACCGTGGGGTGTCAGCTCCCCTTCAGGGTAATGCTCCTTCCTCAAAGGGCACCTGGCATGGTGCGGGGCGTGTCTCGCCCCCCGGCATTTCATTCCTGCCTCTTCAACCTGAGAAAAGGAGGTAAGAACGAATTAAGGCCTCAGGGCGCCTTCCAAAAGTGACCCCTAACCCGGGACAAGGCCGGACGTGCTTTTCAGGGTCACAGAGCCTGTGCCACCTCCCTGTGTTGAGAGGCACCGCGCCCCGTTTGCCCAGAGAAACACTCAGGTGAGAAGGTGCCGCTGATGGTTCTCCAGGGGCAGCAGAGATGGGCAAGGCCTTGGAAACTTCTCACCTCACTCCACAGAAAGTTGTATGAGGAAGGACTTCCCGAATTAAGAACACGTGGTTGTAGTTTGTAAAGTAAAGTTGCTCAGTGTTTCACGGCATCTCAAAACGTCTCTCCCCAAGGTCCCAATCCACAAGCCTCATCTGCAAGCATCCTAGGACCTTCCTCTCAGACACAAATTCCAAAGAGGGCCAAACAAGAAGAAAAACGGCAGACTTCCCATGGTGCATTGCTCTGGGAGCACCAGCTGATACCCTCTGGCCCCCAGACTGACTTGGGAAGGATCCCAAAGAAGTCTGGTCTGGCCTCATCGGACAGAAAGGCTGCCAGAGCCCTGCCCATTGCACTGAGATCCCCAGTAATGAGGACAGCTCAGAGGCATCCCAGTGCTGTCTGCTGTTGAACAGCATGAGATGCACTGATCCGTAAGTGGGCAGATTTGTGTTTTTATTTTTCCTCTCTGGAGCAAAAAGAAAAAGGGACTTTGACTGTGGGTGACACGGAGACTCTGCAAACCTCAGGATGGGGTCTATCTACATGGAAATCACTCCCAGGCCTCCCTTCTCCACGCCCCTCTGGAGATAAAGTGTAATGAAGTTGTTAACCACTGGCTCTGCTCTTCTTACAGATAAGGGCAACTTTCTTTCAAAGACCTTTGTGCTGAGTTGTTGCCAAAGCTGTTTCAACTGGGATCCTTCGTGGCTCTGCCTACAACACACGTCGAGGCGGGTTTCCCTGGATGGGCTCCATCAGTCACGTGCTTGCAGTGGGGAGCAGCTGTCTGAGGCTGGGGCGCAGAAGAGGAGGGCGATGCTTCACTTGCCCTGTGCCTGACAGAGAATGTGGCTTTGGGCCTCAGATGCACCCAGCCGGGAGGTGCCAGACAGCACAGTGTGGGGGGGCAGGTGGGTGACACCCCGCTTCCCCAAGCAGCCCGAGGGGAAAGTGCTCCCAGGCTCCTATTAGGGATGCTCCAGGCACATCTACAGAGACGGACTGCCTACAGAGAGAGCTGAGTGGGCTGGAAAGATTCTGGAGCCCTGGGGAAAGGGCTGGGGAAGGGAAGGAATGTTCTGTGACAGCTGGGTTCTGTTCCCTTTCAAGTCGTTTACATTGCACTAAAGCAGTAGGAAGATTGTGGAAGGATGTGTGAAAGGTGGGGATACACAGGGTGGGGGGAGAGAAAAGAGAACAGAGAGCAGACAAGAAAGAGAGAGGGAGGGAGTAAGGGAGGCAGGAGGAGGGGACAGGGGAAGAATGGGTAGAGGGAGGGAAGGAGGGAGCGAAAACCAAGGCAAAGGAGAGTAAGTAAGTAAAACAAACAACAGAGTGTTTTGAGGGGGAAGAGCTTAAAGACAGGAATGAGTGAAGAAGAAAGGGGCTGATTCCCTTCTTTTTAACGGCTAAGTAGTACTCCACTGTATGTATGTACCACACCTTCCTTATCCATCCAACTATGCATGGACATTGAGGACCATTTGTGACAACATGGATGGACCCAGAGGACATTATGCCCCATGAAGTAAGCCAGACACAGAAGGGCAAACACCACACGATGCCCCTTACTGAGGAAACTGAAATAGTCACAGCGGCAGAGGGCAGAACAGGGCCTCCCAGAGCCGGGGGAGGGGGAAGCGGGGCATGGCTGTGCGGTGGGTATGAAGTTTCAGTCTCGCGAGATGAATTAGGGCTAGAGAGCTGCTGTCGCGTGGGGCTGGTCGTCCACAAGGCTGTGCTGTGCACCTAGAAGCCTGTTAAGAAGCGGGGAGGGCAGAGCCCAGGGGTAGAGCGCTACGCTGAGTGTGCGCAAGATGCTGGGTTCTCTCCCCAGTACCTCCATTAAATAAGTAAATAACCTAATTACCCCCACCTCCCCCGAAACAAACAACAACAAAAACAAGGAAGCCTGTCAAGGGAGTAGACCTCATGCTAAGTGTCGTCGCTACACACACAACACCGTCAAAGGGACACAAGGACACTTGTGGAGGTGACGGCAGGGCGGTTACTTTGAGAACAGGGGGTGGTCGCCGGCGGGGTGTGTGCACGTGTCCAGACTCACTAAACAAGTGCAGGTTAGGAAGCCTAAAACCTCGCAGGTCCTCCTGAACCTCAGGAAACTCAGACATGCTCCTGGAGATCATTTTTCCAAATCCAAGAACTTCCCCCCGTTTTTGGTCTCAGTTGCCAGAGAGTTTGAAAGTCAGGTTTATGGGCTGCGATTCGTGATGTCCCCGGTCAGGGGAGAGACGTGCGCAGTGCTGCCGGGAAAGAGCCCTGCAAGCTTCACGCTCGGACGCGCCCCCGCCCGGCACCCCAGGCTCCCAGCCGGCGTGAGCCCGTTAGCAAGTGGGTGGAGCACAGATCTTGACTAAAGGGCAAGACACACACTCAGAGAACCAGGAAGATGCGTCCTCCCGGCCCATCTCATCTCGCGAAGAGAGTTAAGCCGCGTCCCACGCTGACAGTGAGACCCACCTCGGCAGCGAGCGGGCTCAGAAGAGGGAGACCTGGGACAGGCAGGACCTCGAGGAGCAGCCTTTACTGGTTACACAGGAACCAGAAAGCTCAGTCAGCCAGTCAGGGTTTTGCAGTCGTCTCATTGCTTTGATTTATTTGTAATTACCTAATAGCTCTAGTTGGTAACATGAGAACATGGTGTACATTTCC